AGAAAAATAACATTCCATTGTTATTTCTCTAAACAACATTCCATTGTTTTATTGGGCTTCCTGAGGTGCCATGTTGATTAATGGATACTCTCTATTTTCATGCCAATACTCATCCTGAACTAAATTTAGATCGTTCTTTTGCTAGACCAGACTCAACACATGCAAGAGCATCATCATATGTGTAAACTCTTAGGTGAAAAATTCAGTTTACAGAGACAGAGAAGTATTTCGAAAACTCTCATTCACATATTCAATATTAAGATATTCATTTAAAATGATTGATCGTGAGAGTAAAATTCTAATTGCAATATGCTCTAGAAAAATAATATAAATCTAATTGCAAATGAATGCAGTAAGGAAAACAAACACAAGCCCCATGTTGCAGGAGTATGAAAAGAAGTACCAACATGAAATAACACAACTAAATGTTGCTCGAACACCTATGCATAAAAGTACTGACGATTACGACTTACCTGAATCACCCAGATGAATTGAACACACAGGTCCTCCTGTTGTGTCCTCGACGTTTGCAAGCAGTACAATGAGGAATCGATCTTTCTATCACCTTGTTTCTCCTGTGTACCTTCACTCCAGATTGAGGTTGACGTCTATTGGGAATCGATGCACCATGAGTGGTGCGTGTTGAGCTCATGTTCTTCCTACCATATAAAGTTCTTCTATTCCTTAGCCTTGAATCACTTGGGATATCTTCTCTGCCATATTGACATATGAGAAATACTGACAGATTCTATGGAAATGTAGAGTATATTAACATATATGTCTAACAGTCTAACTCCTTCATTGGGAAGTATACCAACCAAATATATCCTGTGATGGGTGTACACAAGGCACGTCCATGGCATCCACGATGGATGGTGGAGATAACCATAGTTCTGATGATGATCTATAGTTCATCTCCACCATCCATTTTGAGAACAAACTGTGGTTGCCATTAGGTGAATTATATACTATGCATAGGATGTGTGTATTATCCTTCACCTTCTCGTACCTGACAGTTGGTTCCCGCTCAGGTCTTCTTTCGCATTTCATGATGTAGACTGTAATGGCATTGCAAAGTCTTGGAAAAACACCCAACATCATGGGGATATCTTCCCCATTGATAACATCAAGAAACCCGAAATCTGGGTCAGGATGTTTATACCTAATGTGTATCTCATTATGTGATGAGTTAGACATGCTAACTTCTTGCATTTTCAAAATAAAGTCGGAATAACCAATTGAACGACTAACACAGATTGAACGAGCCAAGCCCCCTTTCCAAATAATCTTGTCTGACTCCTCCACAAACTCACCATCATATTTGCAGACTAATGGAACTGTTTCAGTAGGGGTTGTGAATGCCTGCACATGAAACCACAATGCCTGATATTAAAATAGAAATTTCCAAATAAAAATCATCTATGAGTAAGTTCCAAATGAGATTAAGGTATATGAATACATGATATTGATAACACATGAGAAGGTTCAGTTTTCAAAACTATGATCAAGTCCTATACTTATGATCAATTTCAAGATTCTCATGGCAGGTTCAGTTTCCAAAAGAAAAACAAACATGGTCACTGCCTAACACTTTCTTCTCCAGCCCAAAAAGTCTAGTATGGAAATCAAATAGTTGAAGAGTTCTCGTTTGCCACTTCAATCCCTATTTATGAGTGCACAATTTCTATGGAAAAGGATTATATGGTCTAGCCCGATAACCTATTTAGGTGGTTCAACCCCAAAAAGATGGTCAGGAGGGATTTTCTTATACGAAAATCTTCCGATCATAGCTGATTCACCTTTTGAATAATTCAAATAAAAATTTAAAATCTTTTTAAGCTCTTCAATTCCCTGATTTATTGTCCTTCAAACCTGCAGTTCCAAGTGAATCTTCAAGTGATGATTTGAAGCATTTTCTGAGTTCCAAACATTTTCCTTATATAAATTGATCTTGGGGATGATAAGATATTGTAAATGTTCCAGATGAGAAAAGTATCCCTAACCATGTTATAGGTGGGCGTGTTGTAAGTCTTCGGGTCGACTACTTCATACGCCCCAATTCTTACTGCACCACATTGTAAAACCATGGATTTGAGGGCTGTTAGCAACGATATCTAAGAGATTGCATAATCAAAGTTTGAAAGGATGTGTCCAATCCAAAGGCATTTAAAATTAAACCCAAGCAAATATATTAATTGAAGCAATTTTAGCGGCACATTCACAATAAGAAGGGCTGCAGCCATCTGCACGATCCTTTTTATTTGGATGGAAAATATTAGCACCAATTAGAGAGGCAAGCCTGGGCTCCAGGTTCCCCAGTTTCCCACTTTAAGTATGCAATAATTGGGCTTGTCCCCAAACTTGTCTCTTCTCTCTCTAGCACACAAAGAACCTCTCTCTCTCTCTCTCTTTCTACTCCCAAACCCCATGACTTCCTCCATCACCAAACCCCAAAACACAACCAAACACACACACACAAACACAAGGAAAAAACTAAAAATCACGTCATCTAGGGCCTCTTGCCCTACTCCGGCCTCCTGCCCTACTCCGGCCTCCTCAAGCCACATCTCTAAAACAAAAATTGGAGTTCTGACTCTGTGCTCAGAACTTTCAGGATTAGGCTCTTCCTCTTAACCTAATATCACCCACTTCTATCTCTAAAAAATCCTACTTTCCAAACTCTCAAAAACCAGTCCCTTTGATTCCCCCCCCCCCTCCCACCTCTGCAACTAAGCTCTACAGTGACTGCAAATTTGGCTTCGATACAGAGGTAGACTTTACCACAGCTTTACAAGCTTATTCTAGATTGGAATTGAGCCCAAAAAGTTAATGGAGTTCCCATTATTGACGAAGACAGATTGGCCTTGAATTTGGAGGGAAAGGAGGTTTCAATTAACAAGAGGACTAGGACTAATTGTGTAGTTTAGATCATAGCTCATAACTACGCAATGTTCACCTGTGGATACCGAGCAATAGAGGGAAAACATTAATGGTGGGGAGATGACAGCAGTGGTGAACATTATAGTAGAGATTATGTGATGGAATAGATGCTAACCAACCCAAATGAATTTGGTTTACTAATAATCATAGTTTTCTGAGATATCTCGGTGAGGTTAGTGAGAGGGAGGTTGGATATAGAGAGAAAGTTAAAGAGAGGGAGGTTAGACCCACGGGTTAAAGAGAGTATTAATGGAAAAGAAAGGCAAGGCGATGGGCTTCCTGGGCCCTGGTTTCACTTTTTGAACATAGGTGACAGCAGTGTTAATGGACACTGGCTCGAGTGCTTATGAGTGTTGCCGGTGTTTAATATGTCGGCATAAAAACCTGATATGGCTCGATACAACTATACAATCGTTTATATTCATAAAATATTATGTTTACTGCTATTTATATAATAATTTCCATTACTTCACATGTGAGATAGTTTATTTTTTGGGTGAGTCAGTGGGGAGAGGGCCCCTACCCTTTGTAGGACTTGAGCCTAGGACATAGCGATGCAAATCGTTAAGTTCTAACCAATTAAGCCCCAGCTCTTTTCCTGAAATCAGTAATTTATTAAACACTGATGGTGACCAACTTTTGTTTTTTTGGGAGAGTCAGATGGGGGAGGGCCCCTACCCTGGAACGAATTGAGTACGTAGTTGGAAAGGTGGTCAAACGCACCTCATTTGTCTAGTAGTACCTGAGTTCGAACTTCCCATATAACTCAATATTTTTAACCTACCAAAATGTTCCCAGGTGCCAAAGTGGGACAGCAGCCATAGGGTTGAGTGTCGGGGTTACCCAAAATTCATGGATGGTGTAGGAGGCTGCAGCCTTACCAAAATATTATACAGTATTGTTAACTATATAAGCATCCCCTAGGGTTATACTTTCAGTACAAAGTACAAATATCAAACTTTCGATTATGATGTTAGTCAAATATAAATAGATGCATAAACGGCATAACACTTTAAGTCCACCTTACAATAGGGAGAGGGGCAATAGATGCGAAAATGTGCAATAGATCAACAATTCATACTCCATTTGTGCAAAGAAATCAAGAACAACTCAACCCCAAAATGCAAGCCCATGAAGTTGATTTCTCCATCACAATCCAACCCCTTTGATCGGACGTCAATAAGCCACATGGTCAATGTTGTAACAATGTCCATGTGGATTGTATTCTATTTTTCTTAAGCCTACCCAAGCTTTTCTAAGCCTGTTTACTCTAGGAAGATGCATTTGTCTGTTGTCTTTGATAGCATCGATTCTCTTCCCTCGAAACTCCCCACAACATTTCTTGCATTTCTCAAAGGAATCACTGTCTGAGTGGTAAGCATTGATCCTACCACAGACCCAGTTATGAGGAATCAATGTCTAAGTGGTAGCATCAATCCTGCTACACAGGCCCAGTCTTGTAGTGATGAATAGTATTATTCATGCCATCAGGACTTGTTTTGTCCTATCAGTGGCATGACTCTTGCCACTTGGACTTTGTTCCAATCCATTGGAGAGGTAATTGCTGCCAAGAGGATTCTTGCAATTCATTCTCTCCACCATCAAATGTCAACTCCTTCGATGTTCATCCAGCCTTGTGCCCTGGATAAACATAAAAAATGGGCAAATGTGGACACCTGAGTCTTGACTTGTATTCCTAATCAGTTGGGAGAACGTTCCTCCTCCCAAACCACATACAGGAACCTCACAAACCCCTAGATGATTACCAATAATCATAGGGGCACTGTGTCATTATTACAATTCATACCTGCATCGATACTGACAATTCCCTGGCAAAGACAGACCCAACGTCTGAAAATCAGACCAAAAATGGATCCAAGAAGATTGCCCAAAAAATACGGGAAAATCAGACTATCTGGCAGCATGATGGAATGGAAGACAACCAATTGTGTGTGGCCAGTGTACAGCCCATTGTCAATGATGTATAACTGCTCATGGTTGTACACCACTTGCGGCAAGGAGATGGCACACAGCCGCATTTGGCCGAGGCTTGAACGCAAGAGGTGAGGCCCTGGCTGCAAGGCCACGTGGCTTTGTGGTTAAGGCATGACCACATGCTATTGAGTGTCGACTGCATGTGCAGCAAATGTACGACCCATGCAGCCACCTCAATTTATCCACCTTGATTTATCGACCCACTTGGGCCATTGGGGGGCAATCATAATTTTGAAGAAGAAGTTGGTATTAGGAGGCCTGAAGAACTCAACGCCCTCGTCAAGCTGCCGCGCAAGTACTCCTGGACTTTGTCTTCGAATTGCCAAAGAGTCGCATCCCACTCCCAGCTAGCCTCACTCTTTGGTAACCTGCGGAGGCCACAGAGGTTGTATCGATAGCTCTCAAGTAGGAGTATGGTCTCCCAATCTGCAGTCAAAACTGTCTTCCAATTTTTGAGAAGGACCGAGCGACGCAACAAGTTCAGTGGGCTTTGTGCGAACAGTACAGTTTTCCCTCTATGGGAATGTCTTCAGTCAAATCTATCAGGTGGGTGCAGCCCCCTAAGGAGCCTGTAACTTCGTAAGGTCCTTGATCCATCGAGATCCCTCATCCATTCAACTATTCTTCACTTTGACTGGTATCGGTTTGCCTGCATTCCTACTTCAGGGATACTCCCTCCATACCGGTTACCCTCTATGATGGCACATTCCAGTCTGTCAGTCTGATCTAACCTTGTTACTCTCCCTTCTCTTTACCACGTAGCTAGACAAAAACATTTTATCTCGTATTACTCTGTATGTGTTTTTCTAAACGAATTACAATCACCATCATGGTGTTGGGATAGGGTAACTCAACACGTTGGAGGAACCCCACTTTATCCTTTCAGTCCAATTCTCAAAAACCTCACTCTTCCTAGTTGTTGTCTACCTTCTTACCCACTAATTCCTAGGGAGGTAGCTCCTCTCAGGGACCCTCCGGTTCCAGTGGCCCTCACACAGGAGAAGGCAGTAAGTTGTTCGAGGTGGTGCATACACAAATGGTATAATGTCCACATCATGTGGATGCTTCAACATTCACATTGAAAGGGTAGGAAATGGACGAACACAATTATATTTAGAAATCTAATTTTAGTTTTTTTACATAATGAATTAACATGAAAGTTTGCAGGTGTGCGCGCCACATCTAGGCCCACCTAAACAATGTGAATTAATTCAAAAAACCCAAATTGGCCAAAATACCCCTGAATATTTTAAGGGTATTTTGGCCATTTTATTTTTCACAAATTATGTTGCTTAAAGAAATGGAAGAGAAATGATGAAACTAATAGGTGTCCAAGAACTAGGTGGTGGAATTTAAAAAGGGAGAAAATAGACTTATCTGGGAATAAATTGGTAAAAGAAGGAAAAAAGTTAACATTATGAAGAACAAGATGGTTGATTGTATTAAGGAAGTGGCAAAAGAAGTTCTAGGGGAATCTAAAGAGAAAAGAAATTCCGATAAGGAACCTCGCTAGTGGAGTAATGAGGTTCAAAAGGCTATTTGAGAAAACAAATCATGTAATAAAGTTTGTCAATATAATAGAAATGATCAAAACTAGAAAACATAAAAATGCTAAGAAAAACACTAAGAAAATAGTAAAGCTAAAACTAAGGTATGTAATGATTAATTTAATAAACTGGGGACAAGAGAAGTGACAAAGATGTATTCAAACTAGTAAAAATTAGAGAAATGAAGTGTAAGGATGTAGATCATATTAAGTACATTACGAGTGAGGATCAGAGAGTCTTGGTGAAGGATGACGAGGTCAAAGAAAGGTGGCAAATTTTGTTCAAAAATTGCTAAATGATGAACACAATGGGAGCACAACGTTAGGAGGAACCTTCAATATAAATGAGGTCGTAGATCATAGATACATTCGCAAGATTAAGATATCCGAAATAAAAGAATCTTTGAGAAATATGACGATAGGAAAGGCTTTAGGATCATATGATAATCCGCTATAGGTTTGAAGTGCATGGGAGAGATTGGCATATTCTAGTAGACTAAGTTGTTCAACAAGATGTTGAGAACAAAGAAAATACCAGATGAACGGAGAAAAACTATTGTGGTACCTATGTACACCTATCGACAAAACCAAAGCTGTGGGATAGAGTGATTGAGCAACAACTACGACATTAAAAGAGTTAGGGAAAGTATAAAATGCGACCATTTACCTTTGATACAAGGTGATTACTATAATCATGACCATTGGATGTAAAATTGAGTGGCTACAATTATTCCATTGACCAAGCTCAAACTTCAAAAGAATTTTTCTTGAACTTCGTGACACATCCTAGCTATCAAATTCACATCAAATGGTTGTAAGGAATTGTGACCACCTTGTACCAAAGGTAAGTGGTCTCATTGTATACAAACCCATCAGAAAATCAGTTCAGTTTATGCCAAGGCGGTCAATAATTGAAGCCATTTTCCTACTTAGGCAACCAATTGAGATGTTTAGGGAGAAGGAAAGAGACTTCCACATAGTCTTTATTGATTTAGAGAAAGCATATGATAGTACACCAAAAGACTTAATTGGGAGGGCATTAGAAAAGAAAGGAGTCACTAAAAGACATATTGACATGGTAAGAGATATGTACGAGAGAGCGTTAACTATTGTGATACTAGTAGAGAGACAAGTGAGTTTTCAGTGATAGTAGGTCTACATCAGAGGTCAGCATTAAGCTCATATCTCTTTGTTTTGGTTATGGACAAGTTAACTAGGCATCTATCAAGATGAGGAACCCTGGTATATGTTGTTCATAAATGCTATAGTTTTGACTGATGAGACTAGTGGTGACATCAATACAAATTTAAAACTTTAGAGGGATTTTAAAGATTCTAAAATTTGATGAACTAAGTTAAAATATATAGAATGCAAATTTAGTAATAATAGCAGTAGAAATTAAGAAGTAGTTAAGATTGATGGCCAAGAAATACCTAAGAGATATTATTTTCGATATTTTGTGTTGATAATCCAAGAGAATGGAGAGTTTGAGGAAGATGTTGTGCATAGAATTAGAACTAGGTGGGCGAAGTGGAGATATGCATTTGGAATTTTATGTGACCACCACATACTAATGAAACTGGATGGGAAGTTTTATAGTATGGCTGTAAGATCAGTCATGCTTTATGGGACAGAATGTTGAGCGGTCAATAAACAATACATCTATAGGATGAGTGTAGCTAAGATGAAGATGTTGAGATGGATGCATGGCAAGACAAGAAAGGATAGAATTAATAATAAATACATTCAAGGGAAAAAGTAACCCCAATGAGCAATAATATGAGGGAAAGTAGACTTAAGTGGGTTAGCCATATGCAGTGTAAACACAAGAACATGGATAGAAGTGGTGAGAAGAGATATGGTGAATCATGGTCTGGCTGAAGGTATGGCCCTGAATAGAGCAGAATGGCAGAACAAAATTCATGTACAAGATCCTAAATAGTTGAGATAAGGCTCGGATGATGATGATGATAGTTTTTAGCTACGCCTAATTGAGAAGTGTGAAGGTCCAAAGTTTCAAGTCAATCCAATTTGTAAAAAGAATAAAATTAAAACATTAAATTCAATTGCAGTCGTCTATTAAGTTGGGACAGTGCTTGTGCAACATTCAAGAGTTCACATGATGCAGATGCTATACCTCTCCCACTATCATATTATTCATATCATGTTATTAGGAGATGGTGAGTTTACACTACATCCTTATCTTTTCCAATTTTGTAGAAAACCAGATTTCTAATTCCTATTCTAAAACCCATGAGAAATTGGTATCACAAACAAATATATCTTAATGGGATTTTTCCTTCTTCTAGAACGTAAAAGAAAAATAATACTCGTATTTCAAACAAGGATATATTGTCAAAAATGATTTTGTAAAAATATACCTCATCTGGCAAGAGGCAAATTGGAAAGTACCCCTCCCAGTAGTCCTAACACATGCAAGGAGTGTTTAGTCTTAATGTCAATGACAAAGAAAAAGTGTTAAAAGCTAAAGGGAAATTTACGTAAATATCTTACATATTTTCAGAACTAAAAAATAGTCACAAATTTTTCGTATTTTATGCTGATGTCCCTATTTCAGTCAGATTTTTTTCCCTGAAATACCCCACGGTCTTGCACTTTTCTGCATTTGAAGTGCCCAACAGCACATTTTTGTTTAACTCATGCTTCGGTCTTGCGTTACAAGGAAACTTTTGGTACGCGCAAAAATATTTCCCGGGGAGTACTTTTACATGACAAAACTCCCTTATATGATTAGGTGTGAGAGTACTTTCACACTAATTGGCTACCAATTGGTATGACAAAATGTACTGGGACCAATTGGTGTGAAAATACTCTCACATTTAATCACATGAGGGAATTTTTTTTATGTGAAAATACTTCTTGAGAAGTACTTTCACACGTAACAAATGAGTACCATACTGATTCTATCGAAAATAGAGAATCCAGAATTGATTTGGCAAGTATTAAACTGACTTATGGCAAAAAGGAAAACCCAGAAATTGGTTCCGAACTTGAAGTGCCGAACCAACTTCTAGCAAAAAAACGGACCCAAAAGAATTATGGCGAAAAGAAGAACTCAGAACTCACGGTTAGGCACAAGAAAAGAGAACCCAAAAGTTAGCTCTACACTTCAGCTTCTGGAAGTGGAAGAAAAAGAGGACCCAGATGTGAGTTAAAAAAAAAAAAAAAATCAACACTTGAAGTGCAGAACCAAGGTTATTTTGGCAGGGAAAAACTGAAGGCGAAAAAGACCATCATGTAGAATATGAAAGTTTTAGACATATTTTAATTATTAAAAATATATAGGATATTTACGTAAATTTCCTAAAGTTTAAACAAGCAACTCCTCACAATTCTTGGCTAAAAATCCCCTAATATTAGGGAAAAGTTGTGACACATAGCAAAGAATGAATAATATTTCCCAATGTCCATTAAAAAAAAGAAGGGTTTTGTGAGGGTGCTCCTACACATGGAGTTTAATGTACTCTACATTCAGTACCCTTGCTTTGTAATACAAAACTTTTCGAGCATTGGTATTTTCTAGTCATTACAACCAAATTTTGTAACACTCACATTTACCAGAAAGCCACTGGTTGTGGTTGCCAATTACATTTGCCTGACTGAAAATTCTCAGTAAATGAGATATATGGCACAATTAGAAGAAGCAAAAAGAACTTCACAATACAAAAATTAACAACAAAAAATAAAATTTATGATGAGGAGCAATGAAATAGATGCAGCACAAGAGAAGAGGCAAGATTAACAAGTATGACCTGAAGATAAGTGTGTTAATGGTGCATGCACAAATGGTAATGAGGCATTGCTATAGAAAACAACCATATTAGCCTTCCTCATTTTTCTCAATTGCTGCAACAAATTCTAACTTAACCAAAAAGAAAAAGGAGGCATGTGGTTTTTCCAAACAAATTTTAGAGCCATATGCGGTTTAAAGGTAAAGTGAGCTTTCTGCATCAAGGATTCATAAAATAAAATTACAGAGAGAGAGAGAGAGAGAGAGAGAGAGAGAGAGAGAGAGAGAGAGAGAGAGAGAGAGAGAGAGAGAGAGAGA